ATATATATATATATATATATATATATATATATATTATATATAAATAGTAGGTTGGTAGACAGCAACCACCCAGGGAGGTACTACCGTCCTGCCAAGTGAGTGTAAAACGAAAGCCTGTAATTGTTTTACATGATGGTAGGATTGCTGGTGTCTTTTGTCTGTCTCATAAATATGCAAGATTACAGGCATGTCTTGCTACTTCTACTTACACTTAGGTCACACTACACATACATGTACACGTTTATTTATACACACTCATCGGAGTTTTCTTTGATTTTATCTTAATAGTTCTTGGTCTTATTACTTTTCCTTTTATATCCATGGGGAAGTGGAATAAGAATCTTTCCTCCGTAAGCCATGCGTGTTGTAAAAGTCAACTAAAATGCCGGGAACAATGGGCTAGTAACCCCTTTTCCTGTAAAGATTACTAAAAAGAATAAGAAGAAGAAAATTGTCAAAGTGGGAAGTCTGAATGTGCGTGGATGTTGTGCAAATGATAAGAAAGAGATGATTGTGGATGTTATGAATGAGAAGAAACTGGATGTCCTGAAGGGGGTGGGAGAGTTTCAGTGGAGAGGAATAAATGGGATTAGGTCAGGGGTTTCAAATAGAGTTAGAGCTAAAGAAGGAGTAGCAATAATGTTGAAGGATAAGATATGGCAGGAAAAGAGGGACTACAAATGTATAAATTCAAGGATTATGTGGAGTAAAATAAAGATTGGATGTGAAAAGTGGGTTATAGTAAGTGTGTATGCACCTGGAGAAGAGAGAAGTGTAGAGGGAGAAGTAGAGAGAGATTCTGGGAAATGTTGAGTGAATGCGTGGGGAGTTTTGAATCAAGTGTGAGAGTAATGGTGGTTGGGGATTTCAATGCTAAAGTGGGTAAAAATGTTATGGAGGGAGTAATAGGTAAATTTGGGGTGCCAGGGGTAAATGTAAATCGGGAGCCTTTAATTGAGTTATGTGTAGAAAGAAATTTGGTAATAAGTAATACATATTTTATGAAAAGAGGATAAATAAATATACAAGGTATGATGTAGCACGTAATGAAAGTAGTTTGTTAGATTATGTATTGGTGGATAAAAGGTTGATGGGTAGGCTCCAGGATGTACATGTTTATAGAGAGGCAACTGATATATCGGATCATTATTTAGTTGTAGCTACAGTTAGAATAAGAGGTAGATGGGAAAAGAGGAAGGTGGCAACAACAAGTAAGAGGGAGGTGAAAGTGTATAAACTAAGGGAGGAGGAAGTTCGGGTGAGATATAAGCGACTATTGGCAGAAAGGTGGGCTAGTGCAAAGATGAGTAGTGGGGGGGGGTGAAGAGGGTTGGAATAGTTTTAAAAATGCAGTATTAGAATGTGGGGCAGAAGTTTGTGGTTATAGGAGGGTGGGGGCAGGAGGAAAGAGGAGTGACTGGTGGAATGATGAAGTAAAGGGTGTGATAAAAGAAAAAGGTAGCTTATGAGAGGTTTTTACAAAGCAGAAGTGTTATAAGAAGAGCAGAGTATATGGAGAGTAAAAGAAAGGTGAAGAGAGTGGTGAGAGAGTGCAAAAGGAGAGCAGATGATAGAGTGGGAGAGGCACTGTCAAGAAATTTTAATGAAAATAAGAAAAAATTTTGGAGTGAGTTAAACAAGTTAAGAAAGCCTAGGGAAAGTATGGATTTGTAAGTTAAAAACAGAGTAGGGGAATTAGTAGATGGGGAAAGGGAGGTATTAGGTAGATGGCGAGAATATTTTGAGGAACTTTTAAATGTTGAGGAAGAAAGGGAGGCGGTAATTTCATGCACTGGCCAGGGAGGTATACCATCTTTTAGGAGTGAAGAAGAGCAGAATGTAAGTGTGGTGGAGGTACGTGAGGCATTACGTAAAATGAAAGGGGGTAAAGCAGCTGGAACTGATGGGATCATGACAGAAATGTTAAAAGCAGGGGGGGATATAGTGTTGGAGTGGTTGGTACTTTTGTTTAATAAATGTATGAAAGAGGGGAAGGTACCTAGGGATTGGCGGAGAGCATGTATAGTCCCTTTATATAAAGGGAAAGGGGACAAAAGAGATTGTAAAAATTATAGAGGAATAAGTTTACTGAGTATACCAGGAAAAGTATACGGTAGGGTTATAATTGAAAGAATTAGAGGTAAGACAGAATGTAGGATTGCGAATGAGCAAGGAGGCTTCAGAGTGGGTAGGGGATGTGTAGATCAAGTGTTTACATTGAAGCATATATGTGAACAGTATTTAGATAAAGGTAGGGAAGTTTTTATTGCATTTATGGATTTAGATAAGGCATATGATAGAGTGGATAGAGGAGCAATGTGGCAGATGTTGCAAGTATATGGAATAGGTGGTAAGTTACTAAATGCTGTTAAGAGTTTTTATGAGGATAGTGAGGCTCAGGTTAGGGTGTGTAGAAGAGAGGGAAAATACTTCCCGGTAAAAGTAGGTCTTAGACAGGGATGTGTAATGTCACCATGGTTGTTTAATATATTTATAGATGGGGTTGTAAAAGAAGTAAATGCTAGGGTGTTCGGGAGAGGGGTGGGGTTAAATTATGGGGAATCAAATTCAAAATGGGAATTGACAGAAAAATTGCGATGGTTAGTGGATGAGTTTGAGAATGTGTGTAAAGGTAGAAAGTTGAAAGTGAACATAGAAAAGAGTAAGGTGATGAGAGTCAAATGATTTAGATAAAGAAAAATTGGATATCAAATTGGGGAGGAGTATGGAAGAAGTGAATGTTTTCAGATACTTGGGAGTTGACGTGTCGGCGGATGGATTTATGAAGGATGAGGTTAATCATAGAATTGATGAGGGAAAAAAGGTGAGTGGTGCGTTGAGGTATATGTGGAGTCAAAAAACGTTATCTATGGAGGCAAAGAAGGGAATGTATGAAAGTATAGTAGTACCAACACTCTTATATGGATGTGAAGCTTGGGTGGTAAATGCAGCAGCGAGGAGACGGTTGGAGGCAGTGGAGATGTCCTGTCTAAGGGCAATGTGTGGTGTAAATATTATGCAGAAAATTCGGAGTGTGGAAATTAGGAGAAGGTGTGGAGTTAATAAAAAGCATTAGTCAGAGGGCAGAAGAGGGGTTGTTGAGGTGGTTTTGTCATTTAGAGAGAATGGATCAAAGTAGAATGACATGGAAAGCATATAAATCTATAGGGGAAGGAAGGAGGGGTAGGGGTCGTCCTCGAAAGGGTTGGAAAGAGGGGGTAAAGGAGGTTTTGTGGGCGAGGGGCTTGGACTTCCAGCAAGCGTGCATGAGCGTGTTAGGAGTGAATGGAGACGAATGATACTTGGGACCTGACGATTTGTTGGAGTGTGAGCAGGGTAATATTTAGTGAAGGGATTCAGGGAAACCGGTTATTTTCATATAGTCGGACTTGAGTCCTGGAAATGGGAAGTACAATGCCTGCACTTCAGAGGAGGGGTTTGGGATATTGGCAGTTTGGAGGGATATGTTGTGTATCTTTATACGTATATACTTCTAAACTGTTGTATTCTGAGCACCTCTGCAAAAACAGTGATAATGTGTGAGTGTGGTGAAAGTGTTGCATGATGAAAGTATTTTCTTTTTGGGGATTTTCTTTCTTTTTTGGGACACCCTGCCTCGGTGGGAGACGGGCGACTTGTTGAAAAAAAGAAAAAAAATATGTATATATATATATTATATATAATATATATATATATATATATATATATATATATATATAATATATATATATATATATATATATACACACGTAGATGTGTAACTTGGATCTGCCTAACATGGGCCTGTTGCAATTGCTCCTTTTTTTATATAATTTTATGTACTCTTGAGAGATATTCACATCTCGGTGTATATATCCTCCATGAATATCAGCAATCTCAAATAGTTGATTGCATATATTTGCCGAGAGTTTAATTCCCATTTTACAGAGTAACACATTCTTGTCTGGTGGCGTCAAGGTTACCATGATGCAGCCTTAATAATCACTCCTCGTTCAGTTGATAGTCTTCAAACAACTTGAACCAATAATTTCATATATTCATGTCCCGCAGGGGTCTTAAAGTAGCTGAGAATGTGAGGTAAGTGCAAGTTAGTTTTAATTCCTCTGATCAAGAGTCTTTGATCAGTATCGCCTCAAGGAAGGTTCCTCGACGCTGGTGAGGGGCTCTTGATCTAGGGAATTGGATCTGTGCTCCGGTTCCCTGAATTGAGCCTCAATACCTTCCATCCCCTCCCCCCTGGAGGTTATTCCGGGGATCAACGCCCCCGCGGGGGATCCACGACCAGGCCTCCCGGTGGATCAGGGCCTGATCAACCAGGCTGTTACTGCTGGCCGCTCGCAGTCCAGCGTACGAACCACAGCCCGCCTGTGCGCTGTATAATCCTAAGGGTTTAGCGCTCCCCATGATAATTATAATTATATAATTTGATTAGTATGAACAAACACAGCATCCTCCTTCAAGGATACTTGTCTCTGTTATTGTAGGCACACCTAAATTAATACATAGGCCTATATATATATATATATATATATATATATATATATATATTATATATATATATAATATATATATATAATATATATATATATATAATATTAGATCCCATAGCTTATTAAAATGTTAAATATCGTAAGGTAGCCACATAAAGCTGTTACCGTCCTTTTGTAAATTCTATCATTGTATAGTTTCCGCATATAGTGGCATGGTTTTATGATGTTCTTGTGACAGTGAATCCTTTCTTATAATTATTATTAAGGCTGTTGCTTACAGCCAGTGATATTTTGCAGCATATTTCCACAATGGCAGGCCATTGTATTGCCAGAATTAAATATGTCCTCCGAAGTATTTCTCGAACGCACAATCTCCGTGTTAATAGTGAGGCATAAAGGGTGTCGAGACAGTAAATAAAAGGTTTTAAAATGACTGATAAGGGGTTTAGTAGCTTCAATGACAAAGAATATGATAGTCTTTTATTAAGTTTGTCGTAGTTGAGGTAATAGTTTATGTCATCTATAGTGAGATAGGTGTCGCTGGTGTGAGTGACGTCAGTAAGCGCTCCTTCTTTCATCAGCGGCTCACTGTGTCCTCGTGGTCGCTGCACTCGACAAAACTAAGGTACTATTACCACTCCTGTCTCTTCTTCCACCTTCCTCGTCACCTTCACCGTCTACCTTGTCACCCTGGTGAGCCTTCAGTAGCGCCTCACCACGCCTACCACACAGCTAGGTCTAGAATTTTGCAAAATAACGGAGACGTGACGAGAATAGCATCAGAAAACAAACTAGCTGAGTGTCACGTGGAAATGTGTTAGTAGGTGGTGATGGTAGGCCTATTGAACACCAGGTAGTAGGTCTATCAGTTAACAGTACACTTCTTACTAACACTTAGCCATCTATAATAATAGCACCACTGGCTAGTGCTTCTGATTTCCGTTAATCTTTTTTTTCGCATTCCATTTTATGAAACTTACTAGATTTAATGTTGTAGTTTTCTTATCCTAAGATTGGGGATTTATATTTGCCCACAGTGGGGGGTTATTTGTCGACTTTGATATTGATAAATCGAGGGAAATTGACATTGTTTCCCTTTGGCAGTCTTGATTGAAAACTTTGTTTCCGTTAAACCTCTAAACTTTAGATATTGCATATTTAAGGAATAGAGGTTCAGGCACTGAAGCTTTTTAAAAATATAAATCGATTATTGTATTATAAATAAATGCCTTAATTATATGTATTCTTGACCGTTTAGTCACTATATTTTCCATTATCCTTAAGTAACTTTAAAAAGTTTCGTATGTAAGTTTTACAATGATCTTTGTAATGCCTTTAGTGTAACAAGGGCTAACCCAAAATTAATCGGGTTATGTACGTGTTTCATAACATCTAAAGGTGTTTGTGTGAACAGCAAGGGACCCACCACCAGCCCCTGCTGTATGCTGCTGCTGCTGCTGCTGCTGCTGTGTTTACAGCACCAATTTTCCCCGAGTTATATAACCCGTGTGGGTTTATTGCTTTCCCCATTATAATTCTGGCTAATTATATTTGGTCTTTAATATTATACATTAATGTAGTGAATGTAAGTGATGTCACTGACCTTCCCAAGTCATTGATCAGTCAGAGAAGTCTGATATGTTTCTACTAATGAAGAGTGCTGTATATAAATTTATAAAAAATATTGCCAGTAATGGCCCTCTTTAAATCATTTATTCTCTCTAGGTTAGAATATCGATGCAGACTAACAGCCAGTTTTAAAAATGGATGAAATTGTATACTTATATATTAAGAACATCATGGGAGGAAAAATGGGCTAATTTGTATGTAACTTGGGTTAGCTCACTGTTAGTGACAGAATGTGTACATATTTTAATGCTTTTCTTATTTTTACAAGAGGATGCATGGGAAATCCAGAAGTTATTAATTATGTAGGTTGTAATGATAAATTCAAGATCCAAGTCGATGTCAGCATAGTTCTCAGACAATGGATTCAACCTATACAAATTGCTGGGTTCAGTTGAACTTGTTTTTCAAGGGTTTTAAAAGAAATGAAAGGTGAATTAAGCAATCAAATAGTAGTTTATCTTTAACAACAGGCTACTAGAAACTTATTATCTTTTTCTTCATTATACCAGATATGTGGAAAATGGCAGATGTGATAGCCATTTACAAAACAGAAGATAGGTCTTAAGCTTCATAGTGAGAAAATTGATAGCTTCATATTATATACCATTGTTAGAAAATTGATGGAATCAATTACAGATGCAGATCAAAGTCCCCTTGAAAAAAAAGCACTTAATCTCGGCATGCTTTTACACAGAGGGAGGTTCTTGTCTTGTTAGTTTAATACCATTTTTTACAAAAATATTTGAGGTGATATCTCAATATAATTTGACATTGTATGTGAACTTAATAGTGAGACGGCTGAATGTTGAAAAACTTTTGTAGCTAAAACAGTTGCATATGTGGTTCCAGTGAAGCTAATGAGAGGTTTTGGATTTGTGTAGTTCCTTAATAAGGCCTCGTTTAGATTGTTGCTTGCTTCTTGTCTCGTTACAAATTTAATATAAATGCACTGGAAAATAGGTGTAAAGCACTGACTTTGCACTCTGGAAAAGTGATGTTGAAGTGAAAACTTTGGTTAGCTTTAAATAAAGGTTGTGGATGTAAGTTGGACCAGCCTAGCATGGGCCAGTAAGCCTACTGTAGTGCTCCATTTTTAAGTACTTGTATAGGAAAGTACTGTATTGTTCTAGTTTAGAAAAGTCTGTGAAACAATGATAGTGGTGCTGTTAGGAAATAATTTATCAGCAAGCATAAAGTATCGCTACTAAATATAGAGATGACAGTCGCTGTATAATGCAAAGCGTTACTGATGTCATCAATACCTAATCACATGTTGCTTTCCATCATTATTTTAAACCATTTCTCTCCAATATCACTAAACCATCATCTGTGTTCACATAGATTATACATACAGGTGTCCAATATTAACCACTAGACTCACTTTTATCAAATACACAATGATTTTTTTCAAAATTTATACAGTAACTTTCATAATGGCAGCCATTTTTTGATGCCAATGCTGCAATAGTCTTGTGTATATAAAATTAAATGCACTGTGATCAGTAGCAATGTGCAACATTCATGATCATTGAGAATAAGAGATATAATACCTGAATTTTTGGAATTTATGATGGCTGTCTGAAAAACTGTAGATTGACTAATACACTGTTTTAAATGGTTGTGGTGGGGGGCTGTTTGCATAGTGGGCTGATGGTACCATGTCTAGAGTTGCCCCACTAGAGATTTTTAAATTTTAACAAATAAAAATTTAAGGGTCAACTGTGTTTTGCTAGGTAGTCTGGTTACTGGATACACTGTACTTTTTTTTCTTGGACAAATTAAAAAATCTCTTGCAAAAAACACATCATAAGGTACAGTATCGCGTCATAGTATCTCCAAGTCACATTGATGTGTGTCTTGGTCGTAATGGACGCTAGATTAATGTTGCCCAGCTCTTGCATCGTTGGAGTCCACCTTGTGTGCTGGCCTCCTGGTATATGCTGGAAACAATATTTATAAAAGTATAGTGTGTTGTAAATAGTTATTTATTTTAAGTTTAAATTAGAATAACTGCTTAAACTTTGTTATACAGTAGTACTTGATATAGTGGCCCTATTTCCTATCTCCTGTTTTTTACTCGTTTCTTCCTCTTCCCCTCCCCACTTTCTTTTTTTCACCCATCACCTCTCATGAGAGGTTCCTTGATGCTGGTGGGTGGTTTGCTGATCCGAGGAAGTAGACTTCTTTTTCCTCTTGGATCTAACTTGATTGCCTTTCATTCTCCAGGTGCTGTATGACCTGTACTGGTTTAGTGCTTTCCTGTAAATAGTCATCACTTTTCTACTTATCTCTCGTCTCTTTTACTCTCCTAGCTCGCTTGTTCCTCCAACTTTGCCTCCCTTGCCCTCCCCTCTTCCCCATCTCTTATTCTTTTGTCCCTTTAGCCTCTTTTACCCTCTGCATCCTTCTGTAATGCTCATTCATATGCAGCCATTTTTCCAGACTCGTACCTCCCTCTCCCAACCTTTTTCTCCAATCTCTCTCTTCCCCTTTTATGTTTTTGAAGGAAGACTTGTGTAATGCTGATGCAGTATAGCACATTAAGGAACAATTGAAAAATTATCTTTGCAGAACCAGAGTTGATGTATTTTTACTTTATTCTTATCTTTGTTGTACTTTATGTAGTTATAACTGGATGGGTGTAAAGGTGCACTGTCAATATTAATGAACAAAAGACAGGTGTAGAACATTCTTTTATTGTGACTGTTTTATTTAGATGAAGCTTTGCATAAATATTTCCCATTGAAAATTTCAAGGGGTCACTGTACCTATGTTGGACAGTGTACAGCCTGCCTCAACAACCTGATTGATTAGATCATCAACCAGTTGTCTGGGACTGGGCTGCGGAGAGGATGGCCCCCCTGGTTGATCAGGAACCTGCTTTGAGAATCATATTGAGTTCCTTCTTAAAGACAGTTGGTCTCTTGGTAATTCCCCATGTATTTGATGGATGGGTGTTGAAAAATCTTAGTACCCTATCTGAAGACTGCTCTAAGGGTTACTGCCCTTGCAGTCCAGTCCCAGACCATTTCTGGTTGACTGCCTGATCACTCGGGCAGTTTACACTGGCTACATGCACAGCCTGGCTGATCAGGAACAGGCTTTTGGGGCTTAAACACCTTCTAACCCTTAAATAACAAAAAGGCACAATACCGTGACTGGAACGATACACAAATAACCCGCACATAAAAGACAGAAGCTTACGACGACGTTTCGGTCCGACTTGGACCATTGACTTTGTCAATGGTCCAAGTCGGACCGAAACGTCGTCGTAAGCTTCTGTCTTTTATGTGCGGGTTATTTGTGTATGTTTCTAACCCTTAAACTGTCCAAACGTAGATCTACGTTCACGTGCGTAGTGCTCCGACCTTGATTTTCTCTATTTGAAAGTATGTAAAAAAAAAAAAAAACTATGTTCGGAGCCCCCGCACGTAGATGTAGATTTACGTTTGAACAGTTTAAGGGTTAGACAGGTAGAAGTCTGTTGGTAATTTTTTTGAAAGACTTGGTATAGGTACACAGTTACATAAATTATCATGCATAGCAGCATGTGTGGATTACTTAGGATGACCCAAAAATAAAAAGCCAGTGACTTATTTCCATTGAGTCTTTGTAGTATAATATTTAAACCATAAAAGTTAAAACAAGTAGGTAACTCAAGGTAGCTTACGAGAGGTTTTTACAAAGCAGAAGTGTTATAAGAAGAGCAGAGTATATGGAGAGTAAAAGAAAGGTGAAGGGAGTGGTGAGAGAGTGCAAAAGGAGAGCAGATGAAAGAGCGGGAGAGGCACTGTCAAGAAATTTTAATGAAAATAAGAAAAAATTTTGGAGTTAAACAAGTTAAGAAAGCCTAGGGAAAGTATGGATTTGCCCATTAAAAACAGAGTAGGGGAGTTGGTAGATGGGGAGAGGGAGGTATTAGGTAGATGGCGAGAATATTTTGAGGAACTTTTAAATGTTGAGGAAGAAAGGGAGGTGGTAATTTCATGCACTGGCCAGGGAGGTATACCATCTTTTAGGAGTGAAGAAGAGCAGAATGTAAGTGTGGTAAAGCAGCTGGAACTGATGGGATCATGACAGAAATGTTAAAAGCAGGGGGGGGGATATAGTGTTGGAGTGGTTGGTACTTTTGTTTAATAAATGTATGAAAGAGGGGAAGGTACCTAGGGATTGGCAGAGAGCATGTATAGTCCCTTTATATAAAGGGAAAGGGGACAAAAGAGATTGTAAAAATTATAGAGGAATAAGTTTACCGAGTATACCAGGAAAAGTATACGGTAGGGTTATAATTGAAAGAATTAGAGGTAAGACAGAATGTAGAATTGCGGATGAGCAAGGAGGCTTCAGAGTGGGTAGGGGATGTGTAGATCAAGTGTTTACATTGAAGCATATATGTGAACAGTATTTAGATAAAGGTAGGGAAGTTTTTATTGCATTTATGGATTTAGAAAAGGCATATGATAGTGGATAGAGGAGCAATGTGGCAGATGTTGCAAGTTTATGGAATAGGTGGTAAGTTACTAAATGCTGTAAAGAGCTTTTATGAGGATAGTGAGGCTCAGGTTAGGGTGTGTAGAAGAGAGGGTGAATACTTCCCGGTAAAAGTAGGTCTTAGACAGGGATGTGTAATGTCACCATGGTTGTTTAATATATTTATAGATGGGGTTGTAAAAAGTAAATGCTAGGGTGTTCGGGAGAGGGGTAGGATTAAATTATGGGGAATCAAATTCAAAATGGGAATTGACAGTTACTTTTTGCTGATGATACTGTGCTTATGGGAGATTCTAAAGAAAAACTGCAAAGGTTAGTGGATGAGTTTGAAAATGTGTGTAAAGGTAGAAAGTTGAAAGTGAACATAGAAAAGAGTAAGGTGATGAGGGTATCAAATGATTTAGATAAAGAAAAATTGGATATCAAATTGGGGAGGAGGAGTATGGAAGAAGTGAATGTTTTTAGATACTTGGGAGTTGACGTGTCGGCGGATGGATTTATGAAGGATGAGGTTAATCATAGAATTGATGAGAGAAAAAAGGTAGAGTGGTGCGTTGAGGTATATGTGGAGTCAAAAAACGTTATCTATGGAGGCAAAGAAGGGAATGTATGAAAGTATAGTAGTACCAACACTCTTATATGGATGTGAAGCTTGGGTGGTAAATGCAGCAGCGAGGAGACGGTTGGAGGCAGTGGAGATGTCCTGTCTAAGGGCAATGTGTGGTGTAAATATTATGCAGAAAATTCGGAGTGTGGAAATTAGGAGAAGGTGTGGAGTTAATAAAAGCATTAGTCAGAGGGCAGAAGAGGGGTTGTTGAGGTGGTTTTGTCATTTAGAGAGAATGGATCAAAGTAGAATGACATGGAAAGCATATAAATCTATAGGGGAAGGAAAGAGGGGTAGGGGTCGTCCTTGAAAGGGTTGGAAAGAGGGGGTAAAGGTTTTGTGGGTGAGGGGCTTGGACTTCCAGCAAGCGTGCATGAGCGTGTTAGGAGTGAATGGAGACGAATGATACTTGGGACCTGACGATTTGTTGGAGTGTGAGCAGGGTAATATTTAGTGAAGGGATTCAGGGAAACCGGTTATTTTCATATAGTCGGACTTGAGTCCTGGAAATGGGAAGTACAATGCCTGCACTTCAGAGGAGGGGTTTGGGATATTGGCAGTTTGGAGGGATATGTTGTGTATCTTTATACGTATATGCTTCTAAACTGTTGTATTCTGGGCACCTCTGCAAAAGCAGTGATAATGTGTGAGTGTGGTGAAAGTGTTGAATGATGAAAGTATTTTTTTGGGGGGGATTTTCTTTCTTTTTTGGGTCACCCTGCCTCGGTGGGAGACGACCGACTTGTTGAAAAAAAAAAAAACTCGACTACAGTGGACCCCCGGTTAACGATTTTAATCCGTGCAAGAGGGCTCATCGTTATGCGAAATAATCGTTATGCGAATGAATTTTCCCCATAAGAAATAATGGAAATAAAATTAATCCGTGCAAGACGCCCAAAAGTATGAAAAAAAATTTTTTTTACCACATGAAATGTTAATTTTAATACACACAAACTGAAAAAGGCATGCACAATTACATGACACTTACTTCTATTGAAGATCTGGTGATGATTGATGGGATGGGAGGAGGGGAGAGCATTATCTTCTTACTGTTTAGAAGGGGAATCCCCTTCCATTAGGACTTGAGGTAGCAAGTCCTTTTCTGGGGTTACTTCCCTTCTTCTTTTAATGCCACTAGGACCAGCTTGAGAGTCACTGGACCTCTGTCGCACAACAAATCTGTCCATAGAGCTCTGTACCTCCCGTTCCTTCAAGACTTTCCTAAAATGGGCCATAACATTGTCATTGAAATAGTCACAAGCACGGCTTGCAACAGCTGTGTCAGGGTGATTTTCATCTATAAAGGTTTGCAGTTCAACCCACTCTGCACACATTTCCTTAATCTTTGAAGTAGGCACAATGGATTCCACAACTGGCATAGGCTTCTCAGGGTTAGCCCCAAACCCTTCAAAATCTTTCTTAATTTCCATACTAATTCTCACCCTTTTTACCACAGGGTTGGCACTAGAAGCTTTCTTGGGGCCCATGGTCACTTATTTTCCAGAAACAGCACCGAAAATACTGTAATAATACGAAATATTCCGAGTGTATGCTTGGATGTTACCGCGGAGGCTGGCTGGTAAACAATGGGACGGAGCGGCACATGTGAGGCTGGCTGAGGGCACATTGGACGCGTCTCGGACGAAAATCGGTATGCGGGTTTTTAATCGGTATGCGCGGCAAAAATTTTGCGATAAAAGTAATCGTTATGCGGAAAAATCGCTATGCGATGCCATCGTTATGCGGGGGTCCACTGTATGTGAAAAGCAGCTACAATAAAAGGAGATATACTAGGAGTAGGTAAATTGAGTTATTTACATTAACATTAGAGAGGATCAAATCAGTAATAAGTACATGTATGTTAGCTATTCAAGAAATCACTCCTCTCTTTCTGTAGCTACATTCATTAGGTACCCATTGGCTCTCTTGAATTAGCTCATGCTATGACAGACGTTGACGTGTGCAGGCAGTCTGTTCCACTCCTTTATTGCAGAGCTTCTTGCTTATTTGAGGAGTGATTTCAGTGTGGAGGTTTAAGACTGATCTCTAGAATTTTATAGGTGTAAATAATGGTGAGTATTTCTTGCATACGTCCAAGGAATGGAGCTCTTACAATGTTTCCTCTGCTGCTGTATTATTATTTTTTTTCTAATTAAATGAAAGCAGTGTTTAGAAGCATTATAGTTAATTAAATGAGTTTAATTTTCAATTTCAGTTAAAGATGAATGCAGAGAAATTGGCAAAGCTGCAGCAGCAGGTGCGTATTGGTGGGAAAGGCAGCGCAAGAAGGAAGAAGAAGGTCGTCCACCGCTCATCAGCGACAGATGATAAAAAACTCCAGAATTCCCTCAAAAAGCTAACAGTCAACAATATTTCAGGCATTGAAGAAGTAAGCTGATGTTATATAATTGACATTTTTGTATTAATAAATTATGCTTCAGAAAATGTCACTGAACAGGCATACTGGTTATCTAGTTGTCATTACTTCCATGGCATGCCATTGGATCTTAATGTCTTTAAGATGCCTGCTGTCTTTAAATATACAATTGTGCTGTGACCTTGCTATGAGTTAGCACTATCAGACAGGTCATCTTATGACAGATCTGTTGACTGTAAGTATGTGCATAATTATCATAGTAACATTGAATTAATGTAATTGCATCATTGTATTTCCAAGTCGCATGAAATGTTGTCTTGGATGCTAGATTAATGTTACCCAGCTCTTGCATCGTTGGAATCCAATTTAAAATCTGGCTTCCTGGAGACATTAATAAAGCATACGCTCAAGATTTGTTAGTTTATTATTTTATTAGGTTTCTGAATTGAAACCTCATAAGGAGGTACTACTGTCCTCTTGAGTGAAAATGGAAGCCTCTTAAATGTTTTGCACTCCAGTAAGGTTACAGATTTGTCTCAACAAAACATTTGAGGTAGCAGATAGTTAACTCTTAGTAATATATAGTGAAGGGCTTAAAATTTAGTAAAAATGTGTAAAACATATTGGGGGGGGTGGAGATAGGTTTTTTTTTTTTTTTTTTTTTTTTACCTGTCTTCAGGAAAACCTTTACATATTGAATATTTCAGCTACTGAGCCTAATTTCAAGCTACTTCTTGTCCTGGAGTATACCTGGAAGGGGTCTTGGGGGTCAGTGACCAGGTCTCACGGTGGATCAGGGCATAATTAACCAGGCTGTTACTGCTGGCCACGTGTAAACAGACGTATGAGCCACAGCCTGGCTGGTCAGGTACTGACTGTGCCTGTCCGGCATCTTCTTGAAGACAGCCAGGGGTCTGTTTGTAATCCCCCTTATGTATGCTGGGAGGCAGTTTAAAAGTTCTGAAACCAACCAGAATTGTCTGTGTTGTATGTTTCCCATTTTGTTAAATAATAAGAAATGGCAAGTAACAGCATAAAAACCATTCAAAAAAAACACTTCAAAGTTGCTAGCTTAAACCAGAGTGGCTTAGAAGTTTGCTTTACCTCATCATGCAAAACTTGGGGTAGATTTTTTTTTTATATACTGCACACTCGCCTCAGACCAATTCTCTCGTGTCTATGCCAAAATTTACCACTCACATGTCTGAGGGAGCCAAGCTGAAAATATAGATCTATGTGAATGACGCTGGTTTTATTATTATTTTTTTTTTTTTTTTTTTTTATCACTGGCCGATTCCCACCAAGGCAGGGTGGCCCGAAAAAGAAAAACTTTCACCATCATTCACTCCATCACTGTCTTGCCAGAAGGGTGCTTTACACTACAGTTTTTAAACTGCAACATTAACACCCCTCCTTCAGAGTGCAGGCACTGTACTTCCCATCTCCAGGACTCAAGTCCGGCCTGCCGGTTTCCCTGAACCCCTTCATAAATGTTACTTTGTCTCCATTCACTCCTACCAAACACGCTCACGCATGCCTGCTGGAAGTCCAAGCCCCTCGCACACAAAACCTCCTTTACCCCCTCCCTCCAACCTTTCCTAGGCCGACCCCTACCCCGCCTTCCTTCCACTACAGACTGATACACTCTTGAAGTTATTCTGTTTCGCTCCATTCTCTCCACATGTCCGAATCACCTCAACAACCCTTCCTCAGCCCTCTGGACAACAGTTTTGGTAATCCCGCACCTCCTCCTAACTTCCCAACTACGAATTCTCTGCATTATATTCACACCACACATTGCTCTCAGACATGACATCTCCACTGCCTCCAGCCTTCTCCTCGCTGCAACATTCATCACCCATGCTTCACACCCATATAAGAGCGTTGGTAAAACTATACTCTCATACATTCCCCTCTTTGCCTTCAAGGACAAAGTTCTTTGTCTCCACAGACTCCTAAGTGCACCACTCGCCCTTTTTCTCTCATCAATTCTATGATTCACCTCATCTTTCATAGACCCATCCGCTGACACGTCCACTCCCAAATATCTGAATACATTCACCTCCTCCATACTCTCTCCCTCCAATCTGATATCCAATCTTTCATCACCTAATCTTTTTGTTATCCTCATAACCTTACTCTTTCCTGTATTCACTTTCAATTTTCTTCTTTTGCACACCCTACCAAATTCATCCACCAATCTCTGCAACTTCTCTTCAGAATCTCCCAAGAGCACAGCGTCATCAGCAAAGAGCAACTGTGACAACTCCCACTTTGTGGGATTCTTTATCTTTTAACTCCACGCCTCTTGCCAAGACCCTCGCATTTACTTCTCTTACAACCCCATCTATCAATACAGTGGACCCCCGGTTAACGATATTTTTTCACTCCAGAAGTATGTTCAGGTGCCAGTACTGACCGAATTTGTTCCCATAAGAAATATTGTGAAGTAGATTAGTCCATTTCAGACCCCCAAACATACACGTACAAACGCACTTACATAAATACACTTACATAATTGGTCACATTCGGAGGTAATCGTTATGCGGGGGTCCACTGTATATTAACCCTTTGAGGGTCGACAGGCCCTCTCCGAAACTCGTTCTCAGGGTCGGCCAAATTTAAAAAAAAAAAATTATTTTCTCTTATGAAAAGATAGAGAATCTTTTCCCGATCATAACGACACTAAAAGTTTGAAATTTGATAGAAAACTTACGGAATTATGCTCTCGCAAAGTTAGCGGTCTCGGCGATGTTTACGCATCGGCGATTTTGCCCACTTTGAGCCCCATTTTCGGCCAATTTCACTGTACTAGTCGACAAAAAACATGAATATTTCGCTAGAACTCCATTTTTTTCTATCGAATGGGTGCAAGAAACCACCCATTTATAAATTCAACTATCCAGTACAGTGGTCAGAATTTAGCAATTTTGCCAATTTCACACAAATTTCAAAAGATGCCAATTTCGGAATAGGGTCCAGAATAAACAAGAAAGACATTCCTGGCACTAAAATGACATTTCCTCTAGTCATTAGTCACGTCTCAAGGCCCCTCTTATATTCTTTTGCTTTCCACTTTGAATTTTTATTCTCACAAAAAATATAAGATTTACTGTTATGCAGACTACTGCATTAGTGTAAAAAATGGTATAAATATTATTGGTGCACTTGTGAAAGAATATTAGACTCGCCAGTTGACGTGTATTGCACGCTTGGCACGATTTGTTTACTTTTGAAGTTTGGTAAAAATCGAACATTTCTGCTACTTTGAGCTAAATTTCAAGGCACCTTTCATTGTAAAACCAGTCAAAATCATCTCAATTTCAGTAAAATGTCTTCCATTCTATAAAATGAGACCAAGAAAACTAGAATACAACAATAAATACCATACGAAAATACACTGCAAAGTCGCTGATTTATTAAAAAAAAATGGTCAAAGTTTTTTTTTTCTCATTATGCACTGTGTGCTGCAGGATTTTTTTTAGACTGTGCACACTGACCACATAGACCCATTCTTTCATATAAAGGCCTACCAGCTTTCTCCCACTAGATTTGAGGCCGCTAGAATTTATGATACTGAGTACGTCAAATACGTACTAGTACGACGAAAACCCTCAAAGGGTTAAACAACCACGGTGACATCACACATCCTTGTCTAAGGCCCACTTTTACTGGGAAATAATTTCCCTCTTTCCTACATACTCTAACTTGAGCCTCACTATCCTCGTAAAAACTCTTCACTGCTTTCAGTAACCTACCTCCTACACCATACACCTGCAACATCTGCCACATTGCCCCCCTATCCACCCTGTCATACGCCTTTTCCAAATCCATAAATGCCACAAAGACCTCTTTAGCCTTATCTAAATACTGTTCACTTGTATGTTTCACTGTAAACACCTGGTCCACACACCCCCTACCTTTCCTAAAGCCTCCTTGTTCATCTGCTATCCTATTCTCCGTCTTACTCTTAATTCTTTCAATAATAACTCTACCATACACTTTGCCAGGTATACTCAACAGACTTATCCCCCTATAATTTTTGCACTCTCTTTTATCCCCTTTGCCTTTATACAAAGGAAATATGCATGCTCTCTGCCAATCCCTAGGTACCTTACCCTCTTCCATACATTTATTAAATAATTGCACCAACCACTCCAAAACTATATCCCCACCTGCTTTTAACATTTCTATCTTTATCCCATCAATCCCGGCTGCCTTACCCCTTTCATTTTACCTACTGCCTCACGAACTTCCCGCACACTCACAACTGGCTCTTCCTCACTCCTACAAGATGTTGTTCCTCCTTGCCCTATACACGAAATCACAGCTTCCCTATCTTCATCAACATTTAACAATTCCTCAAAATATTCCCTCCATCTTCCCAATACCTCTAACTCTCCATTTAATAACTCTCCTCTCCTATTTTTAACTGACAAATCCATTTGTTCTCTAGGCTTTCTTAACTTGTTAATCTCACTCCAAAACTTTTTCTTATTTTCAACAAAATTTGTTGATAACATCTCACCCACTCTTTCATTTGCTCTCTTTTTACATTGCTTCACCACTCTCTTAACCTCTCTTTTTCTCCAGTAACAAATTTAAGAGACTGAAAGGGTTAATTTGATTGAAGTTATATGCAGATGTAACCTGGTTCAACCAAACTTGCAATAAGAGATGCTGTCAAAAGTTCCTGGACTCTGAATTTTTGCAAGCGTCCTGGGTAAAACGTCGCAGCAGAGTACATCACACCTTTCAGTATACGTACTACTTTTTGAAGTAGTGTGGTGAGGTTCAGTGTAGTCCTTCTGTTGAAGTTAGATGAGCCTTTTTTCTGCCTTGTTAGTGTGGATGAGAGAGAGGTGGGGAAAGACTGAGACTGGGAGAGAGTGACTCAAAATGCATCAGTAAGCAGCTGGTGAAGCGTCAGTTGAGGATGAATGCTCTGGTCATCCATAAATGTCAAAACTAGATGCCAACATTGAAAGGATGAGGAAGGTTTTTCACAAAGATCATTGTCAGAGTATCCAGAATATTGCAAGTTCTGTGGAACTGAAAATTTGAACAAGGTGTGTGGCTACAAAAGTTGTGCCCCGCTTGCTAACTGAGGGCGAGCGTTTCCTTGTCAAACAACATGGTAGTCATCTCCAGCCTCCCTAATTCCCAGATCTAACCCCCTGTGACTTTTGTTCCCAAATAAAAAAGGGGCAGTGTTTCAAGTTTTGACAGGTGAAGTGATCAGTGTATGGCCTAGGGGGAGAACTTAATCTAAGTGATTAAGTTAGCCCATGTATTTTTTACGTTTAAGTCTGAGGCTTCCTTTTTTTTTTTTTTTTATAACGTCTTGTATACTAGATAATTGTAAGTTGTAATTAGTGTTGAATGCCCTGTAAAATAATCAGCATAGTAAAATGAGAGATTGGAATATTACCAAATGAATCCATATTGATGCATTATTAAAAATCAGTTATTATAAACAAATTAAACCACCATTTAAACAGTTATTTATAATGGACATCAGCTTGTACTTTTGATTATGCTGGCATGTAATTGCAGCACTTAGTGAAAATGTAATTTTATATGAATTTGTAAGGGTTATAAATTTTTATAATCACTACTGTACATAGATGACAAACAAATTCTCTTTTGTGCAGGTGAACATGATTAAAGATGATGGCTCTGTGATACACTTCAACAACCCAAAGGTTCAGGCATCATTAAATGCTAATACCTTTGCTGTATCAGGTCATGCTGAAAGCAAGCAAATAACAGAGATGTTGCCAGGCATCTTAAATCACCTTGGAGCTGAAGGATTTAATCAGCTCAAGCGGCTTGCTTCATCAGTCAGTGCTGGTATGTGAAAGGTATTACATGTGGAGGAGGCCACATTGGGGCTAGAATTATAAACAGTTGGAAGTAATTGATTGAATTAAATTGATTACATATGGGTTATATCAGAGGTGTATGGTAAAGTAATGTATAGCAAGACATTTAGGAAAATTGAAGATAACCCTGAATATTAAAATATCAAAGCCCAATTTACCACTTCTCTCGTAAGTGCCATTATTGGCATAGATTTGCAGAATTTAAATATCATTCTTCATTCTTTACTCGCTGTATAGTCCTTGTGGCTTAGCGCTTCTTTTTGATTATAATAATAATTCATTCTTTACATACATTAGTTCAGGAAATTGTGCTGTACCTGGAATTCTCACATCTTGAAAAATATTTTTGTAATTCTGTAATCATTCATGCTTTACTTCACTGCAATGGAGGTGTCTTGATGCTGATGAAGGGCTCTTGATCCAGGGAATTAAAGCTGACTCTCCCTTGCATTAAACCTGATTCCTCCCCATTCCCCAGGTGCTGCACAACCCCTATGGTTAGCACTTCTCAGCATTATTATAATATGCTTTATTTTGTGGGTAAGACATTTATGTAGAATAGATAAATTTTTATACTATCTTTTGTGATACATGTGGACTTGAAAATATAATTGCACATTTACCATGGCTGATCTTCTTCAATAAGACATGTCTGGTAAATATTGTGCTATAGTAACTCCTTCAGCCGCAGGGGTTATATTACTAAAACATAACCCTCTTGAATGTATAGGATACAAGAATTCTCCTTTTATTTTTTAACGATTGAGAATAGTAATTTGAAAAATATGACCTATAGGTCTTCTTTCAACAAACCGACTGTATCTCACTCAATGATCTATAGGTATGATATATTTAATAATTTTGTCCAAAAAAAATAAAAGTCAGTAGGCATTGCTGCATACAAGTTTTAAATTAACAGTTGTTTGTAGACAGCTATGTTAAAAAATAAGACTAGATACCTAATATACAATTGCTATTACATTATATAAATGTTAGCTGGACTTGAGTCCTGGAGGTGGGGAGTACAATGCCTGCACTTTAAAGGAGGGGGTCGAGATATTGGCTGTTTGGAGTGATATCTAAACTGCCGTATCTGGATGCCTCTGCATAGACAGTGATTGTGTGGATGATGGTGAAAGCATTTCTTTTTTGGGTCACCCTACTTCGGTGGGAGACGGCCAGTGTGTTAAACAAAAATGTAATAGTTAATGCTATTTAAATTTATTTTTCTTTTCATATAAATGGTTTAGATGTAGTTTTATAGTACACGATGAGATGTTAGGAAATTGGATTCAGTTGACAAGGCTCTGACATTTAATCTGTCAGGCATTTAGTATTTTTAATCCCCTTTGTGTGGCTTCAGCTTCTATATAGATTCACTTGTACTTGTGGTATATCTGGTACATTTTTTTGTGGTGCCCACGATTTCTGTTACAGCTGCTGCTGAAGTGTCTTAACCCCCTTTTATCATTAATGTTCAGTACAAGAAATCTACAGCAAAGTAGGGAACTAGGTGGTGTAAAATGACCCTTTAGCTTTCATGGGCTTAATTTAAGACAGTAATTTATATTAGGTAAACTTCTGGGATCTGAAAACTCAAATTAATATCCTTGTTCACTTGGTACATGAGTACATCCCCTTTGATGATGTCTGCTGTACTACTGTGTAGCAAGGCTGGCAGTCCCTCTTCACTTCTAAGCACTTCGAAGTCCCCTTCCATGTATAGATTGTAACAAAAAGTGTAGAGACAATTCAGATGTTTGAAGGTGTGTTGGAGAATGTAATCTGGGAGGTTACATTTTCACTAAGGCCAGTTCAGATATCATGGAGTGAGGAAGGATCAGCTGATGGACTACTTATTTTGCAAAACACTATCTCGCTTACCTCTGATTTATTATTCTGTATGTGGGCCACACCTCTAGATTACATCATTGATATACATACACTCCCTGAAATTTCAATTTACCCACTGCTTTCTATCACTCTGAATTATCTGTACGCTTTTTAATTAATGATCTGTGCACGAGGGGCTGATTTTGTTTGGAGGAGGAATTAAGAGCCTCACAACACTGGTAACACACAGCCTTCAACTTCCTTTGTATTGACTCTTATATTTGTATATTTTTTCTTGGTTATTATATCAAATGCTTTATAATTTTCTTTAGTTTTTGGACCAATTATAGTAATGCATGATAGGCAGATAATCTGGGTTCTATTAAACTAAACATCCCTCTCCCAGCTCCCCCTCCCTAAAAATGCCATGGGGCATCCACTTTTTGTTGATGTAGTTCCATAACCAAAATGCTGTATTTCATTTAATTCTTACATTTTTGGTTTCTTGAGAATATTACTTAGGCTCCAAAGACTTCGTAACTAATGAATTTGAATATAGTACATACTCTTTTTGAGTGTACAGTATCACACTTTCAGCACATTAAATTTGACCTCATTGCATGGGAAATGAACTACCAGACATGCTGACTAATTTTCAGTTTTTTAATGGCAAGTACAACATTTTGTGTGTACTTGCTAAAGCGCTTAAAATATTAATGTTAATAGGTTATCTTGGAAGAATTAAAATATTCAGTAAAAGTCTCTCAGTATTTGAGGCAGTTTAAATCTTCAAAGGTATTTCGACCGTGCCATAAGTGACAAAAGCCCTCGCCCACAAACTGGATCCCCACAGCTAGACATCTGATCTTCAAGGCTTCCTCCTTCCCCTGCTGCTCCATAACTTCTGGTAACTTACTTAGTTACTGGATTTTAACCAAAATTGATCAAAGTTGGGGAGATGAATTAAGACATTTTCAGTTCAACAGCATGATTAGCGAGTTAATACTATAAAATAAATCTTGAGAAATTTGTATGCTATAGCTTTCAAGTATAAGGATTTGGAAATAGTAGTACATAGTATAAGGCCAGAATATTAATGTGCAGCAGTATTGTCATGTCCACAAGTAATAACTAACTAGAGTACAAGATGTAAGTACCAAGATAAGGTTAAAAAATAAACAAAGGTTTTTGAAGACTGAAAACAATCCTCTGCCCTTATTGGTTGATGAGATGGAAATAAAGCAGTAAGCATAGTCTTTGGCACCTTCGGCAGGGAGAACACATGGCTTCCGTTGTAAAACTAGAAAAAATAGCGTTTGTAGGATAAAATGTTTTTCTTTGTAAATATTGATAGATTACTGGAATGAATCAAGAAGGTAGCAAGTGTTATAACGAGATTGCAAGTAGATACTCAGACTATAATGTTGGAGAGGTAAAACGTCGACTAAACAAACTAGTCGAAATTGGAAAATTCTGAGTAAAATAGAATAATGCAGAACAAGCCGCATGGGATGAAAATCTTTAGCCATGGCTTGTTTTGCATTAAGATTGCATGTTTGTGATTGTTTAGATTGTTTTTCTTAATTTCATCCCTCATTTGATATGCGCTTATTTAATTGGTGGTGACAAGATTTTTTTTATTTTTATTTTTTTTTTTTTTTGTAGGAAATGTAACTGCTGGTGGCATTGATGAGGACGATGATGATGTGCCTGAACTTGTTGAAGACTTTGAAGCTGCTAGCAAGACAGAAACAGGTGAGCTTGTTTTAAAATTATTGATACCATAAAATGTTGAGCGATGAGAGTACATTATAATAATAATAATAATAATAATAATAATAATAATAATAATGAAGTAGCACGTCTTGGGAATTTCCATTTTGGATTAGAGTGCATATTGTTATACTGGTACCTGGAAATGGACTACATGACTGTTGAACACATTCATTTAGTTATGTAATATAATGCTTGTTACATTGGCCTGAGAAACCATTAATGAAACTTTAAGGTTTAACAACTTGGCATCATTTGAGAATTACCATATTTTGTGTCATATAAGATTTTTTTTCATAGTTCAACCTGCATTCGTAGTCTGAAAAATTATAAAGGAAAAAAGTGGTTCTTTGTTTGTGGTAAGGTTGAAACTGTCAAACATTCTTCTTTATTTGCAAGAGCTATCTTGCATTTTAATTGCATAAAATTTGTGGCGATACACAAAATATAGTGGACCCCCGCATAACGATTACCTCCGAATGCGACCAATTATGTAAGTGTATTTATGTAAGTGCGTTTGTACATGTATGTTTGGGGGTCTGAAATGGACTAATCTACTTCACAATATTTCTTACGGGAACAAATTCGGTCAGTACTGGCACCTGAACATACTTCTGGAGTGAAAAAATATCGTTAACCGGGGGTCCACTGTATAGCCAAAACATGTACTCCAAGCTGGCGGTCACTTTTGTCTCATTTTATTTACTTGTCAAATTTACATTTGCTTGTTTGCAAAAAAAAACTCGGTGATAAAATAGGCTTAATAAAATGGTAATACAGTAGGTCCCCCATTTGTTTGTTTTTCATCAGCGAAGTGTTGTTTTCTCTGAGGTACAGTGACTCCCTCCCTCGATAAAAGAAAAAAATACTGTCAGTCATTCAGTAGCTGTCCTGCCAGTAGCATGCTGACAAAAGTTCAGATGGCCTTCCAAACTGCAACATCCTTATTCCTGTCTATCATTTCCTCACTCTTCATCCATAGTCCAAACTGTGCAACCCAGCTGTGTTTGGTTAGGTTCTCATTTTCCTTTAACTTGGTTCAAGATAAATTGAAAACCAGCAATAGGATTTTGTTTAAAATATTATCATTGAGCTTTCCATGTCCAGTTAAGTGATGAAGTAGTGCTAAAAACAGCAATTGTGAAAAAGTGAGTGTGAAGTGTGTATGACAGCAGTTGATTTAAATCGCTGAATCATTTTCTGCCGTCCCATTACCTCGATTTCCTCAGTCGTAATTACTCCTGACAGTGTTGCAATTTTTAGAAATAATTTTATCTTATGAAATGGTAGAGACTTTTTCCAAAGGTAATGATGCAAAATTTGGTGGGTAATTTAGGGTATTACACAGGTGCAAATTTAGAAGTCTGGATGCAGTTCACACAAGTGATTTCACCCATTTTGAGACCTATTTTAAGGCAATTCCATTGCTTAATTCAACACAATTTCTAGCTATTTTTCTAGTATGCCTTCTGTTCTGTGAAAAGTTTAGCCCTATTTTATGGCTAAAAAAAATAAAACCAAGACTGGTCAACAGTTTAGGCTGTCTCAATGGTTTAAGTAGGTTGTGTGTATACAGGAATATATATGCACTAAATGTTTTTAAAAATAAAGATGCATCTTATATGACAGAAAATATGGCACTAGTTTCAAAAGTAGGTGTTTTTTTTTGTCTATGCTGCTTTCATGTGCCATGCAATTTACCAAAGTACTAGTTTTCATCTTTTTAAATATGCTCCAAAGGTAGGACTGCCACCTTAATATATATGAAAGTTTACTCGAGGGCTAAAAATCTTATGCATGGTATTTGTAGTCTTTGTGTTCAAATATGAAAAAGAAGTTTAGGGAGAATTTACATTATGACTGGCTGGTTAAATATTGGCAATCATGATTACCCCATAACTGCTTGTTTGATTGTGTTTAATTGCCTACCTAAACTAGTGGAACCCTTGTATGCATCCTAAATAGGAAATTGTCAAAGCCTTGATGTTGATTATTCTTAGTTATACAGTTGCTTGTTTTATTAACTTAAGCATAGGCTAAATGTATCAGTTTTTAATTGAAAACACCCATTCCCTTTTAATATTGATTTTTCCTGTAAGGTAAAGGTATTTTTTTATTAAGAATGCAGTGCGAGTGCTACAGTGGTTTGAACGAGTCAGAATAAGGTAAAAATGTAATATGAAAGATTTTGTATTCCTGATGTAATTTAACCCTTAAACTGTCCAAACGTAGATCTACGTTCATGTGCGTAGCGCTCCAAACATAGATCTTTTTTTTTTTTTTTTTACATGCTTTCAAATGAAGGAAATAAAGGTCGGAGCACTACGCAAGTGAACGTAGATCTACGTTTGGACAGTTTAAGGAAGGCATACTGAACAAATGTTATGTATGGGAAGAAGAGTAAAACCTTGTGTTTCTTTTGTTTTTATATCATCCAGTAGTACCTTCTTTACTTCCATTTTGAATAATTTAATGTCCTCCATTCCAGTTGCAGCTTGAGGCTTAAATATTTGTTAGTGTATCATATTTGTCTTGTATGGACACTGAAGTTTCCTCATCTCATATCCCTTTTTTTTTTATGCCTGCCATTTTCCATCAAGGCAGGGTAATTAGAATGAAAAACATTCATTATTGCTTATTCTTTAGCTGTCTTTTTGGGTGGTCACAAATCTCATAATTCAAATGACCCTGTGAACTGCAGTATCTTCACTCATCCTTCAGAGTACAGACAATGTACCATCAGAACTCAAGCTCAGTGAATCTCTTCACAAATGTATGCTTCCTCATATCCCAACAGCACATCATCTCAAAAACCTTGTCTCCATTCTGATTTCTCTCATGCTTGCTAGATGCTCATTCCATTTTTTTTTTTTTTTTTCAAAATAGACTCTTCTTAAGGTTGCATAAATTTTGGTGTTAAATTGCTCTCATTCTCTGTGGTATGTTTTTTCACTTCCTCTACTTTTGTCAAAGTAAGGATGAATTTAAATCTGCAAGTTGATTCTCTCTTGTATTAATGTAAATGTTGCCTTCAGCAGTTGAAATAAGATTAAGGTGGCTGTGTAAAAAAAATTTCTTGTAAGACATTCAGATAAATACTATAATTTGCATGGTTGATTGCTCAGTTGAGATTGCAAAATGTATGTACAATATTCGTGGGGGTTATGTTCCAAGACCACCCTGCCTCAGTGGGAGACTGCTGATTTGTTGAAAAAAAAAAAAAAAAACTAATTTCAAACTCGACTTCGTACATCACCCTTAAAAAAAAGGGGGGGGGGATGTAAAGATAAATTTGTATACAATACTGTACTGCAATGTCTCCCAACTTGAAACATTTCTTGAACTCTTATTTCCTAACGGTGTCTAGCACGGTCTCCCATTCTGCTTGACACTTCCACATTTTTAAAATACTGCCCCTTGAATACCCTTCTCTTTTATAGGAAGAGAAAGCAGTCATAAAGGGATAGAACTTGGGATTAGGGAGGTTGAGGGATGCCTTCCCTGTTGTTTTTGGCCCAAAAATGGCCTTTCCCAACCTTCATGAATAGCCTTCCTCACTTTTCCAATGTTGGCATCTGTTGTTGACTAGGGACAACCACTGTTCATCATCTTCAACTGATGTTCATCCTGCTTTGAATTGAAAACCGTTCAAAACAGTGTCCTACCCATTACTTCGTACCCAAATACTTGCTGAAGCATTTTGAGAATTTTACTAGCCGTTTTACCAAGACTGAAACTTAAAAAAAAATCACAACGGTGCATTCATGACCCCAAAAATGGCTGTCTAACCTCAGTAGAATGAGTGAGGTAGCACTGAAATTCTCAGTGGTACCTCACAAAGGAGAATATTGTGCAGTGTGATATACGCTGCTGCCATATTTCATCCAGGAAAATTGCGAAAATTAGAGTATGGGAACTTTTTGACAGCACTGTGTGTGGGGGGAGGGTAATATTTTGAAATGTTCATTGAAGACAAAGAAAGGGATGCAGTGATTTCATGCATTGGCTAGGGGACATATAACACATCTTTTAGGAGTGAGGAATTGCCATATGTGATAGTGTTGGATGTGCATGAGGCAGTGGTTAAAGTGGTAAGGGGTAAAGCAGTTGGGATTGATGGGGTCAAGACAGGAATGTTAAAAGCAGGTGAGGACAGTTTTGGAGTGGTTGGTACTTTTGTTCAATAAATATATGAAAGAAGGGAAGGTACCTGGAGAATAGATATAGATTATTTGGCAATAAAGTTGCAAGACATGAGTATAGTGATAAAGCCTTTGGGTTATAAAAATAGGTTAGAAAAAATTTGAGAATTGCTGTTGATGCTTGGTCATGGATTGGACTGTGGAGACATTGACCCCCAGAACTCCATCCAGTTTACTGCTTGTGGTTTTTCAGTTGTACCTGTCTGTTTTGCATATACAAGGGTTTACTCCTCTGAACGTTTTATGTCCATTGTATAATCAGCTCTGTATAATGCAATTGAGAAGGGGATTGAAGATTAATGCCATATTCCATGGAGGCCTTTCTACACTATTCAGTCTTGGTGGTATTTTTTTCTTTTGCATTTCTGCAAAGTTGTACTGTTTAGAGGAGCTTTACAGGAGAGTTGACTGTACCAAAAACTTGCCCTTGTAAGAGGAACCTTATGATGATTCAGTCTATCCTGAACCATTGTCAAGTCACAACTAGCACAAGAAAATTGGAAAATTCCCCAAGATAATACAGTAAGGGGCAGGAAGTGAAATTAGTGGCAGTAGTGGTGGTGGTGGTGGTGACAGTAGTAATGAGGAAGTAGCAACAGTGTAGTGGTGGTGAAATAATTTGTAGCACTGGCATAGTAGTTGTGCATAAAATAAATGAACACTGCAGGAAATCTATTGACCTTCGCCAAACAGGACTAGAGTAACGAGTGATAACCGAAACTGCAGAAACCAAGCCCATGGATACGGGGGTTCTACTGTATCTTGACGAACTAGTTTAGT